CAAGTTCAAACTTATATTTCGAATAGACCTAGATATGAAAACTGTGATCGAACTCTCTTTGTTGTAAGATTCTTTTTCTTGAATTCAAAAATTACTATTTTTTTAATCTAAACGATTTATTTTAAATAAATAATTATGGACGATGGGACAAGATTACATCATATCAAACTATACCGCCTCTCCAAAATCAATACTTACCAATATAGCCTCCTGTGTCTCTCTGCTGATCAATCACTTGGCTGCCACTCATATCCTCATTCCTGGAATTCCAGATTTATCGAAATTACCATTACATAAAATTGATTCAGACACACAGATTTCTTTAGTTTATAAAAAGTCATAATCACACATTGAAAAATTTCATAGAACTACTTAAAAAAATTTTATTATCATATAAATATACATAGTTATGATACTGCAAATGAATTAGAAATGTTAAAAGAGGAAGCTTTAAATTAAGATTGGGAAAAAGTAGAAGAAAAATTAATAGAATTACCAAAAAGCCCGAGTCTTTGCAGGAAATTTGAAATTAAGAATGTTAGGGATGAGTTCATAAACCCTTATGATGGTTCTATAAGTGATGATTTAGGAGAATATTTTACTCCTGAAAAATATTTTTATTGGGATTTAATACATTGGAGTACTAAAGTTCACGAGGTTGTCATTTGAGATCGTCAAGTGATTGTAAAAAATTAGTATTATATATACAGTAGTCTGGTATTATATTATCGTTTTCGTTATAATTGTATTGGTAATGATAATTTCTATATTGAGTGTTACGTGAGGTAATTATGCTTAATGACGCGTTCATTTTAATGAACGAATAAGTTGAATTGTAATTATTTAACACCAAATTAATTAATTAATTCATTTTAATAATATAATGACAAATCATTCAAGCACTAGTTTACGAAAAAAATGAATTTCGTATCTAATTTTTATCTTTAATATTAACGAGTTTACACGGGAGGAGAGGGAAAAATTAACGTTAAACAAACATAAAAATTAAATATAGCGTACAGAAAAATCCTGCATGTAAGCCGAAAAATCCCGGTTACCATGCTGACTATCATATCGATCAGTCTACCACCTATGCTTAATTTCGTGATGTGCTCAGAAAATGGAAGGAGGGATAATGTTAAATGGAGTATCAATTTCAAAACGCCTAATGATAATTGAACATTTAAATTTAACATAATAATATATTATTGTCCGAACGAAGCGGAATATAGTCAACTATCTATATAACAGAAATCCAGGCTGAAAAAAATTTCCGTTATATGGTTATAAACAATATATAAATTATTTATATTAAAAATTAGGTTCAGTGCAATTTCTCCGTTAAACCGGTGAATATGTCTTATCTGTCATGTGACATTGGGGTGCGCTGTGCACTATATAAATCAAAACTATATGTGGTATCATATAAAAATCAAATATCAGAGATT